CTGTATTCCACCGGCTGGTGCGGTCTGTTTGTGCCATTTCGGGGTGCAGGAGATGGGGAACCCCCAACGCGCCGTCACACCTGCAACCCTGCAGCGGTCACGCTCACACTGCTGGGTAACGAGCAGGCTGGTCTGTGGGGACAAAGAATCAGGCTGGGACTCAGGAGACGTGAATGCGGTTCCTGGCTTTGCTCCAGGGTGCTGGGGGACTGCGGGCAAGTCCCTTCTGCTTCTTGTACTTCAGTTTCCCCCTCTGTGAAACCGGGCACAATAGCACTGACCGCTCCTTAGAAAGAGCCTCCGAGACTGATCTGAAACAGGTACCAGGGCTGCTGGGAACAGACACGTGTGTGGGGTTTGTCAATGGACTCACGGGTGAGGTAAATACCCCACGTGACCTGCTGTCACTTGTGACTTGCTGTAAACCAGTGATGGACAAATACTGGCCCACAGGCCAAATCCGCATCACTGCATGTACCTGCGCCTCCCCAGGTACGGGGGATCACAGCCCCTGTTGGCTGCGGAGAGCTGGAGGCCTACAAAAGGCAGCACGCTAGGTGGTGGGGCTGCCTGGTGCAGCGTCTAGTTTTAGCAAATGACGAGGAGGGGTCCCACCTGGAAAGGGAGTTAAGTATCTAACTGCATTTGGGATTCACAGCCCTGTCCGAAAGGCAGGTGCTTCAGCTGATACTTAATAACACTCACAAGCCCCTTGTGCAAGGGAAGGAGTCAGTGGGGTTTCCTATAGCCTAGTGGTTAGAGCTCTTACCTAGGAAATGAAACAGCCAGGATCATCCCGCTTGAGCCTGATATGAGAGCAGGGATTTGAGACCCTCTGTAGTGAAGGGGAGGGTGACATGGGGGGGGGCATTATTTTTTTCTCTGAGAAACAGCTTCAAGAGAAGATATTGAAAGACCCCTCCCTCAAATCTCCTCTCGTTCCGCACGCGGGGCATCCTTCGGGCTGTTTTGCTGCTGACACAGGTGACTGTCACAGAAGCCTAAATCATATTTTGAAAACTGACCTAGCGCTGCAGCCAGAAACATCCACTAACCGTGAGGGGCCTATGAAATTGGGGAGAAATGACCCCGGCTTGTTTACCTGGGCAAATTCTCCCTGGAGGGACTAAAGGCACGAGGGGTGGCAGGATGCCTGGGTTCTCTCACCGGGGTTTGTGAAGGGCTGTAGCTCTGGTTTGTTTCACTGTGTATGTAGCGCAGTAATACGTGGCGGTGTCATCGGCTCGCAGGCTGCCCAGCTGCAGCCAGGCTGTGCTTATGGAGTTGTCCCTGGTGAGGGTGACTCGACCCTGGAAGGCCGGGGCGTAGCTAGTGCTACCAGCGCTAGGACAGATGTATCCCAGCCACTCCAGGACTTCCCCGGGAGCCTGCCGGACCCAGCTAATGCAATAGTCGGTAAAGGTGTAGCCGGAGGTTTTACACGTGACCTTCACAGACTCTCCGGGCTTCTTGATTTCTGCCCCAGTCTGTGTCAGCTGGATCTGGGAGTTGGCACCTATGGAAAAAACAATACAAATGCCGTTAATTCCCTTCTATTCCTACTCTTCCCGGTCTTATCCAAGCCCTTGATCGGCCGTTTAATAAGAACGAATTTGTCCCCGCCATATCCCTGTGCAGCAGGGAGGGGAAGTACAATTATCCTCATTTTTCAGAGGGGAAACTGAGGCACGATCTGGTCTGGCTGTTTTTCAAAGCTGTGTACGGGATTCCTAATACGGAGTAATGAAACCTGGGCATCAAAACCCACTACTTGGCTTGAAAATTCCACCCTGTGCGATGTGCTCAGAGCTGGGATCTAGAATCCAGAGTTCCTGAT